TAGAATTTTATCATTGTTAGGCAAGGCAAATTACATCTCATCCATTGATTTAAAAAGTGCATTTTGGCAGATTCCCTTGGATGATGAATCTAAGGAAAAGACTGCATTTTCTGTCCCTGGGAGGGGCCTTTTTCATTTTAATGTCATGCCTTTTGGTCTTTCCAATGCTGCCCAATGCCAACAGAGACTAATGGATGCCATTTTTGGTCCAGAGATGGAGCCTAACGTATTTGTTTACTTAGATGATGCAATCATTATTAGTTCAACCTTTCAAGAACACATTCAATTACTCAGAGAAGTGTCAAAGCGTTTAAAAGAAGCTAACCTTACAGTAAATATCAACAAATGCGAATTCTTTAAATCTTCACTCAAGTACCTGGGGTTTGTTGTAGATAAATTTGGGTTAAAAACAGATTCTTCAAAAGTTCTAGCTATGGTGAATTTTCCTAGACCAACAAACACTACAGAAGTAAAAAGATTCACTGGCTTATGTAGTTGGTATAGGAGGTTCATCCCACAGTTTTCAACGTTAATGTCACCTATAAATGATCTTTTGAAAAATAAGAAAAAAGGACAAAAGATAAAATGGTCTGATGAGGCAGATAAAGCTTTTCAGAATATAAAAAATGCATTAGTATCTGCACCTGTCTTGGCTAGCCCAGATTTTTCTTTACCATTTGTTATACAATGCGATGCATCTGACACTGGTTTAGGTGGTGTGTTAACACAAAATCAAAATAATGTGGAAAAGGTGATAGCTTATGCTTCAAGAAGTCTATCAAAAAGTGAAAGAAACTACAGCACAACTGAGAAGGAAACCTTAGCTTGTATTTTTGCCTGCGAGAAATTTCGTCCATATGTGGAAGGAGTTAAATTTACTCTAGTTAGTGACCATGCATCCCTTAAATGGTTTTTTAAAATGAAAAATCCCACAGGCAGACTTGCTCGCTGGAGTGTTCGGCTCAGCCAGTTTGATTTTGACATTGCATATATCAAAGGAGCATTGAATGTAATTCCTGACATTTTATCCCGTAGTCCAGTTGATTCACCCTTGGAAGACTCTGAGAAATTGAGTGTGTCTGAAGACATTTGTGTGATGAATGAAAATTGCATTTCCTTAGATATTGATTTGACTAAGTTAGATTCATTTTATGAGAACATTCGCACAAAAATTCTACAGAAACCTGATGAGTATCCACAATGGTCTGTTAAAGAAGGTTATGTATACAAGTTAATTCCGTCAAAATTAGATATGGACTCTAACGTTTCTGAGTGGAAGTTGTTGGTTCCCAAGAGTCAAAGAAAACAAATAATATCTTCATGTCATGATCCTAGTACTGCTTCACATGCAGGTTACCACAAAACATATACTAGAGTTGCTCTTACGTACTATTGGCCAAAGATGAGGAGAGATATAACTCAATACGTGAAATCTTGCAAGATGTGCGCTTCTCAAAAAGCACCTAATCACTCAAAATTTGGACTAATGGGTACTGAGCGTAGTGTACGTTTTCCATGGCAAGTGATAGCCGTAGATTTAATGGGACCTCTTCCCAGAAGCTCAAGTGGTTTTCAATACATTTTGGTAGTATCTGACTGGTTTACTAAATATCCTTTGATTTGTCCTTTAAGAAATGCTACTTCTAGCAGTATAATAAAATTTTTAGAAAATGATGTTTTCCTAGTTTATGGAGTGCCTCAGCACATAGTATGCGATAATGGCAGGCAACTTGTTAGTAAATCCATAAAAAAACTTGTTCAGGACTATGAGTCTACGTTTCGATATACGCCATATTACCATCCTCAGGCTAACTATGTAGAACGAGCAAACCGTACCATCTGTACAGCAGTCCGGAGTTATGTAAATGGAAATCATAAAACATGGGATAAAGAGTTGCCTAGAATAGCATATGCTATGAGAACTGCGGTACATGATGTGACAGGTTACAGCCCTGCCTTTTTGAATTTCGGACGTGAGGTTCCCTGTTCAGGGAAATATTATGGAAAAGGAGAGGTACAATTAGATACAACCAGTAGAGAGCGATGGGCTCAGAACTTGGGTAACTTATCTGACATTTTTAAGGATGTTCAAAATAAATTGAATTTATCATATAAAAGGAATGCTAAATATTATAATTTACGGAGGAGGGACATAGAATTTTTCGTAGGAGACAAGGTTTGGAAGAGGAACCGGGTCCTCTCAAATGCTGCTAACAGTTTTGCTCAAAAGTTAGCACCACGCTACACTCTTTGCACGGTAGCAAAGAAAAAATCAAAACTAGTATATGTTTTGAAGTACCAAGATGGCTCAGACGCCGGAACTTGGCATGTTCAGGATTTAAAACCATATCATGGATCACTTACTGATGTCTCCACAATCCATAGTGATGAGGAATCTGCATGTGACGATTAGTAGGAATCATGATCATGAAGAGGTTACTGAACACATCACGAAAGTGATTTGTACATACCATTGTAGATACAGATTAAGGTAGATTGTAGGTTGAATTAAGCTTAGCCTCAATTCATAGATGATAGGAATTAGTAAATAGTAAAATTGAGCTCAATTTAATATTAAGAATTTTTTGTGTGTACATATAGATTCCGAGTATAAAAAATAGTCATCTTTCAATGCCTATTTTTTATATCCGAGGAAGGGGGTGAATGTAACATGAAAATTTGCCTTTTCGTGTTCCATAGTGTGAATTCTGAAAATAGGTAATTGGGAAGCTTTGTAGACATGCACTGCGTAACTCAATGATTTCTTTTCTAGGTTTTGAGGTACTTTGTAATTTCATCTTGTTAAATGTTTTCATTTTCAATGTCCATGACTGTTGGGTTATTTTAGTCCACTTCTTAACAATTCTTACACATGTGTCAGATGGCCATGAATATTGTTGTTTACATCATAGTCTCTTGCCAGTAGAAGACTGTTTGTCGCGTTTAGTGGCAGTGGCCTGTAATGGTGCAGGGATATTTGCAATTATGTATCGACTATCGTATCGACTATCGATGTCATGATCGATATTTAATATTTCTTTCAAGTTGCATCCCTGAATTTGACTTGAATCATATTATTTGGGTGGCTAGATTGACACTGCGCAGAGACGGATTTTGGTTTGTATTATTTTTTTTGAATAGATCACAAGTGCTCTGATTGACGGAAACTTGTTATTTGAGCAATTTCCGTTTATTCATCCTTCTTGCTGATTCCTTCTCTTGCGAAAAGGTTTCATGTGTTGAAGCAAAATGAAGCCCTTTTTGATTTTGACTCTCGTGCGAACAGGTCAGGTGGTAGACACCTACTTTTGTGTTAGGCCTTTCCGATAGGAAGGTAAGAAATATTAAATCTCTTTTTGTGTGGATGATATTCGATAGGGTATCTACATTTCAGATATCACGGCCTTATACAGGGGAGCAGGGGGCACAGACTGAGTGGATGATTTGAACTCCATTTTCTTTTGACCACATGCTATGTTTCTGGACTTGAATTGAATTTTACCAATGAACACTGTTAACTGGATGGATCACTAAATATCAAATCTCATCAACCATGGGCATTTAGAAATCTTGAACTGTTTTCCGGACTTCACTGTTTGGACATCACATGACATTTTCTTTCGATGGTTGAGGCACCTGAGGGATCTTCGTGCTTTGAAGCCTGAGTTACCAACACACTTGAAGGTGGAAGCAAGACCCTGGTGATTTCTTGTGCATGTCTCTGGGCATCTATAGGACCCGACAGCCTGGAATTTCTGGCAGAATCCTTGCTGCCAACAGTGCAAGTCCCTAGCAGCCCTTCTGGTTCAGATAGCCAGTGATCCTGACTTCTGACAGGAAGTCCAGGGGAGTCCAGACTCCCGGTATGGTTGATTAATCCTTAATCCCTAGGATTTTGTTACTTTGGAGCCTGAACTCCCAGAGCCCAGTCAGATAGTGAGACGTCCTGGTCCAGCTTGGATGGTAGGAAGAGCTTGCCCTGGTGGCAGCCTGTGGACCCGTCAGCCAGAGTTGCAGTGCAGAATCCAGTTGCCCTGGGATACACCAAGTGCCCAGGTCTCCAGGTGGTTGTGACTCCTGTCAACTGTGTGGGGATCCAGTTTTCCTAGCACACCTAACCCCTACCGCCGACTGAGGGAGGAGTGTCTTTGTTCATCCAGGTAGTGAGATCTATTGGACCACAGTTGGAATCTCATGGTTCAAAATCCAGAACTTGCAGCTAAGGTCAGAATATTCCATATATATACTTTTTTCCCTGTCTTGAGGACATTTCACTAGCATATTTTTTCCCTGTCTGAGGACATTTAACATGTACTTTTTTCCCTGTCTTGAAGACATTTAACATACATATTTTTTCACTGTCTGAGGACATTTAAATAGTTATTTTTCACTGTCTAATGTCATGAGATATTTGAACACTTGTCAATAACACATAACAGTCTAAGATCGGATTTTATATATAATAGAATTTTTGGGTCTGTTAGAGACTCTGTGAACCCAAAGTATAGGCCTATATGAAGGGAAATCAACCCTTGTACTGAGTTACAATCATAATACATATTTACCACCATTTGAATACCTATTGTTGACATGTTAAGGTGAATAAATCTGTTAACAGTTATTTTGGCTTATACTTATATCTTGGATTTTTTTCTCAGTAATTCAGCTGTGAAAACTGAGTGGCGCCTGACAAAAGGATAACCCCACTAGTGAATAATAAAAAGAACTAACTCACGACCTGCTCCCAAACAAGCGAGCTGCCGTGCCTATAACAAATCAAAATCTCTTTCTTTTCCAAAACATCAAAAGAGTTGTTATAGTACTTTTCGAATTCTTGTAATTTTTTAAATTTTTCGAAGCTCTAAAATTCTACAAACATCTGGGAATTCATTTTTGTATTTTCTGAGTTTTTCAATTCAGTTTTCTCAAATTTACTCAATTCTTGGATTTTATTTAATTTTTCGATTCTAATTCTTAAAAATTTTCAAATTTTATAATACCTGTCACGAACATCATGGAATCCAGAGCAGACAGCGCTATACCATCCAGCGCCGAATTCGTCGTTAAAACGACGTCTCGTTGCACGTTCGAATTCACCATCTCTCGCACTCTGCCATCCGTCCCGACGGCGAAGATGCTTCTACCGTCTCTAGTCACCGCCACGCCCTTAAACTGACAGGACTTGATGATGGTCTCCGTCAATCGGGCGGCCTTGGCTACCTCCCAGCCGTAGACGGCCCCCTCGCTGCCGCAAGTCGCCAGGATGCTGTCGTCGTTCGACCAGGACATGCCGCGGATCTGACGAAAATTTTGTGAAAATAAGATAGTATTCAGACTTCGCAATTTTTGTTTTTTTTTCAATTTCTTGGTCCCCTTAGAAAAAAAAGTGTGCGCCAATGGAATCGCGATTATGCTCCTCTTTATTACCATATCCTCCCTGACAAAAATTATGCACGCTCTTGAACTGGCATGATTTAGCTTTGCTATTGACGAGCACTCGACGAGATAGCGAGCGACGGAATAGCAAGCGACAAAATAACGAGCGACGAGATAGCAAGCGACAAAACCCAGCAAACAGATAGACATCTACGAGAGATCATAAGGAAATTAAGGAGATAAGAAAAAGAAACACTTTGTATGTAAACATTGGTGAAAGACTTCACATATTCAAAACTATAGCAACTATTGACGACTTAGTAACCATTGTAGGGATACTGTTAAGGTTCCTTCAGACCTGATATTGAGGTTATGAACATCTGTAAGGAATTTCAGTTTCTCATGAAGATACGGTGAAGTTTTGTCGGTTATGATTTTTTTTTAATAAATATGCAGAGTTCATATATCTTCTGTTTTCCATTTCCAGCCATTTTATGAGTTTGAATAGGTGACTGATGTGACCATACTTTCGTACTCCGAAGATCATCCTGATACACGAATTCTGAAGCTTTTGGATACGACTTTCATCTTCTGTGCTGAGAGAGCGATCGTATAAGACATCACAATAGTTCAGATGTGATAAGACTAGAGCTTCACTTGACATTATTTTGACTGGCCTCGTTAACAAGTGCCGTCTCTGGTGAATCAGCTTAAGTACTGCGTAAGCCTTTCGAAGACACTTTGAAATGTGACTGTTGTAAGTTAAGTCTTGGTCAATAATGACACCTAAATTTTTAACAGTCTTCTGTAGTTCAATAGTTTGATCATAATGGGATATTCATTAGTATTGAGGTTACCAATTCGCAATCGATCATACTTTTTTCCAAATAGTATTGCAACTGATTTGTGTGGATTGAGTGAGAGGCAATTATTTCTAAATTGCTAAAAATAATTCATTCAAATCAAAATTGAGTGCAGATATCGCTTGTTCAGTTTCGTCGGAGAAAATGTTGGTCAAATAGTTTGACAAAACATTATTATATTTCACCGCCAGTAACCTGTTCCTAAGATAATCATTCACAAGGAATAAAGCACTCTGAGAAAGCCCTACATGTTTCAGTATTGATGACATATTAGACGATGATTAAGAGTGTCGAATGCCTCGCTATAATCAAGGAGAACTTGAAGAGTTAATTTTCTCATTTCATTTGCTCGCAGAATCTCATCAGTGATATTTGATAATGCAGGACAACAACTGTGTCTTTTTTTGAAAACAGATTGAATTTTAGGAATTATTTTATTCAGATTGAAAAATGTGGTCAGTTGAATTTCCATGGCTTTTTCTAATATTTTTGACATCACTGGTAAAACACTGATTGGTCTAATCTCATTGTATGATGATGGATTCTATACTGCAGCCAGTGGTATCACTTTAGCTTTCCTCCATATGCCAGGGAAGATTGAATGTGTTGAACAAAAATTTATGACGTGCGTTAAAAACTCTGAAATGAAAGGCAGACAATGTTGTAAACTTGAAATGGTAATGTGATCGAGGCCAGACGCATTGCTCTTTACAGCCGGAACAATATCTAAAATGTCGTGATCCTCTCTGAAAAAAATTGTGCACGCACTTTAACTGGCATGATTTGGCTTTGCTATCAAAGTGCGCTCGACGAAATAGTGAGCGACGAAATAGCAAACGACAAAATAACGAGCAACGAGATAGCAAGCGACAAAATAGCGATCGACTAGACAGCGTGCTTCAAAGTAGCGCTCAGATATTCCACAGAAGGTCAAAATCGTGCGGTATCAAATAGCACTCGAGCTGCTCATTCGCTACCGCATGTCGCCAGGATGCTGTCGTCCTTCGACCAGGACATGCCACGGATCTGATGGAAATTTCGTGAGAATGAGGTTGTATTTAGACTTCTAGCAATTTTTGTTTGCTCCTATATTTCTTGTTTCCCTTAGAACAAAAGATTGTACTACCATGGAATCAAATAGCGCTCTAACTGCTCATTCGCTACCGCCAGTCGCTAGGATGCTGTCATCGTTCGACCAGGACATGCCACGGATCTGATGAAATGTTTGTGAAAATGAGGTTGTATTTAGACTTCTGGCAGTTTTTGTTTTCTCCTATATTTCTTGGTTTCCTTAGAACAAAAGAGTGTAAGTTCATGGAATCAAATAGCACTCTAACTGCTCATTCGCTACCGCATGTCGCCAGGATGCTGTCATCCTTCGATCAGGACATGCCTTGTATCTGATAAAAATGTAGTCAAAATTAGGGTGTATCTAGACTTATCGCAATTTAATGTTTTTTTCATATCTTGGACCCCTTGGAACGAACAAGGGTACGCCAATGAAATCGTGATTATGCTCCTCTTCATCACCATATCCTCCCTGAAAAAAATTGTGCACGCTCTTGAACTGGCACGATTTGGCTTTGCTATTAAAGAGCGCTCGACGAAATAGCGAGCGACGGAATAGCAAGCGACAAAATAGCGAGCGACAGAATAGCGAGCGACTGATCAAAGTAGCGCTCAGACATTTCACATAGGGTCAAAATCGTGCAGTATCAAGTAGCACTCGAACTGCTCCTTCGCTACCGCGAGTCGCTGGGATTTTGTCGTCGTTCGACCAGGACATGCCACGGATCTGATGAAAATTTTGTGAAAATTAGGTTGCATTCAGACTTTTCGCATTTTTGTTTTTTCCAATTTCTTGGTCCCCTTGGAAAAAAAAAGTGTACGCCAATGGAATCGCGATAATGCTCCTCTTCATTACCATATCTTCCCTGGAAAAAATTGTGCACGCTATTGAACTGGCACGATTTGGCTTTGCTATTAAAGAACATTCGACGAGATAGCGAGCGCCGGAATAGCAAGCGACAGAATAGCGAGCGACAGAATGGCGAGCGACTGAACAAAATAGCGCTCAGACGTTTCACACAGGGCCAAAATCGTGCAGAATCCAATAGCACTCGAACTGCTCCTTCGCTTCTGCAAGTCGATAGGATGCTGTCGTCCTTCGACCAGGAAATGCCACGGATCTAATGATAATTTTGTGGAAATGAGGTTGTATCAAGACTTTTCGTATTCTCTGTTGTGTTTTTCAATTTCTTGGTCCCTTTTAAACAAAAAGGGTACGCCAATGGAATCGCGATTATGCTCTTGTTTATTACCATATCCTCCCTGAAAAAAATTGTGCACGCTCTTGAACTGGCATGATTTGGCCTTGTTATTAAAGAGCATTCGACGAGATAGCGAGCGACAGAATAGCAAGTGACAAAATAGTGTGTTACAATGTAGTGCTCAGATTTAACACAGAGAGTCAAAATCGTGCGGTATCAAAAAGAACTCTAACTGCTCCTTCGCTTCCGCAAGTCACTAGGATGCTGTCGTCGTTCGACCAGGACATGCCGCAGATCTGATGAAAGTTGGGTGGAAATTAGGTTGTTTTTGGATTTTTCGTAATTTTTGTTTTTTTTTACAATTTCTTGGCCCCCTTAGGATAAAAAGTGTACGCCTATCGCGATCACGCTCTACAACTGCCCAACTGGCACGATTTTGATTTGCTATTAGAAAGCGCTCGACGAAATAGCTAGCGACAAAATAGCAAGCGACAAAGCAGCGAGCGACAAAACAGTGAGCGACAAAATAGCGAGCGACAGAATAACGTGCTACTAAGTAGCGCTCAGATATTTCACGGAATGTCAAAATCGTGCGGAATCAAACAGAACTCGAACTGCTACTTCGTTACCGCTGATGCTGTCGTCGTTCGAGCAGGACATGCCGCGGATCTGATGAAAATTTAGTGAAAATTAGGTTGTATTTAGACTCTTCGTGATATTTCGTTTTTTTTTTCAATTTCTTGCTCCCCTTAGAACCAGAGAGTTTACGCCAATGTAATCACGATTATGCTCCTCTTCATTAGCTATAAGCAATATCTGCTCCAGCTCCAGTGTAGAAGATAGATTTTAAAATAAATCTAATAGTGATTATCTGCATGAATTTCCCTCCTCTCACCAAATTTAAACGAATTGATTCTAATCTTTTCTGGATTGACATCACATTCATAGCAATACATTTTGATGATTCATAAAAATAACATGTATTTTCGATATTATGAGGCTAAGAGACGATCCAAGGTTAAGTGGAAGAACAGTTTATGTAGTGACTTGTTATCCCCACCTAAACTGAACTTCGCCTATTATTATATTGTTATTATTGTTAGTATTATATTATCATTATTATTATTGAGCTGATAAATTTTTTTTGTGTGTAATAAAGACGTTAATTAATATTATTATTATTATTATTATTATTATTATTATCACCATAGCTTCCCTAAAAAAATGTGCACGCTCTTGAACTGTCACGATTTGGCTTTGCTATCAAAGAGCGCTCGACCAAATAGCGAGCGACGAAATAGCAAGCGACAAAACAGCGAGCGACAAAATAAATAGCCGGCGACAAAATAGCGTGCTACAAAGTAGCGCTCAGATATTACACAGAGGGTCAGCAGTTTTTTTTATGTTCTGGTTCCTACGAAAAGGTATATCCTGTAATGTTCAGAGAACATCGCGAGAACCAAAGGAAATAAGGTAGGAATTGGTGTTCTTCTTGGTGTATTCTGTTTTCTATGGATGAAGTGCATAGACTACATTGCATTCAGATTTCAGATTGCTGTAGCTGTAGTCAATTTTGTCAATGACATAAAGTGTTGGCCCTGTTGGTAGTGATGATGGTTGAGTTGGTTAATTTCTTTACATTATTACATTTTTATTAGTTTAGTGAACAGTGAACGGGTGGAGAATTGGAAATAGTTCAAACAATTCAAACTGATTATGACATATAAAAGAACAGCTACAACATGTTTACAATACCCAGATTGTCCTGCTTTGCATGAACAAATACAAATCTATTGTTCTACAGGAGTTCCTCTGGACCCTAACTTCAATTTTACTTCATGTGGGGAAGATTTCATCGCCGACGTTTGCAGACAAAGTGCAAAAATGTGCCTTTTGTTGAAGTCTTCTGCCTCACACAAAATCACATAATTAGCACGGAGAACTGCGCTACTCCTATCATTACTGGTCGGCTTTTTCCGTCTAAATAGAGCAAAATATCTGCCAACAGAACATCTACAACTAGCGTTTTCGATCGAATATTGACAATTAATGTCAAGAAATTTGAAAACTTATCACTCTTATCAGTACACAGTACACAAGCTCATGGCACTGATGGGTTTGAGTGAGGATTGAGTTCGTTTTTCCCCAGTTTTGACGTGGCTTTGACATGGAACGATGAAAACCGAGCGCCACCTGGTGACATTGATTCCCGCGAATACGCTACATACTTCACGTTTGTACTGACCTTACCATTATGTCCTTTCAGCACATAAACTTGTTCGAAGCTAATACTGGAATACACTTGAATAACGTTCCCATTACTTGCGGCGAACATGTGACCCATTTTGCTGAAGCTCGTCATTCTAAAACAGTTCGAAATAACCAAATATGAACTGATATAAGGGTATAACGACAGGTGTATGAACTTTGTCACAGAACTTTGCGAGGAAAAAGCTATCACGATATAAGAAAAGCTACCTTTACACAAGATGATTGGTCCTAATCAATTACATATACCGGGTGTCCCATTTTAATCTTTATTTGGAAATTGCTCGAAATGTATGCATCTGACAGAGAAAATTGCCGAATGAACGTTGTTTGGTTTGGAGGGGGACGTTTGGTCATAAAACAAGTTTCACCCCCTGACCCCCAGGGGAGTGAGAAATGGAGGTAACATTGAAATCTTTAAGGGAAACCCCTATTTTTTATTGCAGATTCTGAAAGAGCATTGAAAACTATGAAGCTTTTATTCGGGAACTTCTTTTTTATTTTCACAAGATGGCGCTGCGATCGTAAAAAACACCGTGAGCAGCCTCGCATCCGGATCGACGACGTCGTCAAAAACCGACTTTTTTCTTTTCCGGGTGAGCTGACCTTCGCGGGCACGTTGTACAAGAGACTTGATGGTAACTTGGGACGGACATCTCCGATCCGGAAATCGACGTCGATATTCGTGCTCAGCCTCTTGGTAATTACCCTCCGCACGTTCGACACAAATAATCATATTCACAATCTCGTTCGGTAAATAATACGACATCGCGAGACAGTGACAGATTTGAAGTGTTTTTACATATGGTGTTACCATACAATGAAAATTATCACTTACCGTGTGAATTTGCAATAAAAATATCACTCCAACGGCGTTTGTCTGGAAATTTCACACCCTACACTCTTCCTCGTCTTTAGGGTGTTGAAATGTGTTAATTCGAACTGTTTGATATCTTTTTAATGATAAAAAGTCTCCCAACTACAAACTAAATAGTAAAATATTGTTTTTTTAAGATTGCAGCGCCATCTTGTTAAAATATAAAAGAAGTTCCCTGATAAAAGCTTCATAGTTTTTAAAGCTCTTCCAGAATCTGCAAATAAAAATCAGGGGTTTCCATTAAAGATTTCAATGTTACCTCCATTTCTCACTCCCCTGGGGGTCAGAGGGTGAAACTTGTTTTATAACCAGACGTCCCCCTCCAAACCATACAACTTTTATTCGGCAATTTTTTTTGTCAGATGCATACATTTCGAGAAATTTCCAAATAAAGATTAAAATGGGACACCCGGTATACATATAAAACTGCCGGGATTGTAACTTTTGAATCATTCTGGATAGGGTTTTGAAAATTGGCGGGTAGAAAGTATAACAAATTGCTCATTAATTGATGAAACAATTTTTCATCTATCACTTCCAGTCTCACCGGAAACGACCCCAACTTTTGATTCTTAAATGGGACACCCTGTATTCTATTCCATAATCGGTTAGGGATTTTATCATGACGAATTCAACGATACCAGGTTTGATAGGGTTATTTCGAACAATCAGAAAAATATTTGCATTCGACGTTTCCATATGCTCAATGGGTGTGACTTCGCAATATCACCTTTCTCTATCACACTCATTGACCATAAGGCAACTCAGAACGCGTATATCTGCGTAATCATTTGGAATAACCCTATCAAACCCGGTATCGATGAATTCATCATGACAATCTCTAACCGACTATGGAATTCAATACAGGGTGTCCCATTCAAAAATCAAAAGTTGGGGTCGTCTCCAGTAAAAACGGGAAGTGATGACCAATTTGGTATACTAGCTGCCTACCAATTTTCAAAACCCTATCTTGAATAATTCAAAAGTTACAGTCTTGACCGTTTTTTGTGCACTTTTCTGTATGTCGGCGCCGTTAGATTTTATTGGAAAGAAACTATCTATCTATCTATCAATCTTAACTATTTTTGGTTAACGTAAACTGTCGATCAGAATAGTCATGGCACACAGATGAAAGATAAAAAATGAAATTAAAATCATTATTGAAGAAATGTCACTCATGTGGTATCATTGGATTCAGAATTCGAAAGTGCAATGATATACAGGGTGATGCACGGTATGGCCTATTAGAAGTATCTGGAGAAGGAAAAGACAGAACATTCTGAAAATTGGGGTGCTTTGATAATTGAACATTCTCTATCCGTCAAAAATATTTTCATTGGTACAGTGTTGCCACTTCTATCAGAAACAACTAGCAACTTCGTTATTTTGAATGGAGCACCCTGTATTTTATTGCATTTTTGTATTCTTCCTGAAGAGCTGATTTCATCAATGCATCACACTTGGGGTCTAGCAGGAATGATTACAGAGATATAGGGAGTTCAAAATCGAGATTTTTCAATTTTAGGATTTTTTTGTGTCGAAACTAGACATTATCGATCAAAACGGCTTACATGTCCCTATCTTAACTTTCGATTCACTATCTACTGACATTTAATTGGAACAGATACAGGGTGATCAGAATTCTGATTCTTGAAGCACTCTGTATTTTTTCCAATTAAGTGTCAGTAGATGGTTAATCAAAAGTTGAGATTGCGACATGTTAGCCATTTTGATCAATAATGGATAGTTTCGACTCAAAAAAATCCTAAAATTGAAAAATCTCGATTTTGAACACCCTATATCTCTGTAATCATTCCTGCTAGACCCCAAGTATGATGCATCGATGAAGTCAGCTCTTCAGGAAGAGTACAAAAATGCAATAAAATACAGGGTGCTCCATTAAAAATAACGAAGTTGCTAGTTGTTTCTGATAGAAGTGGCAACACTGTATCGATGAAAATATTTTAGACGGATAGAGAATGTTCAATTATCAGAGCATCCCAATCTTCAGGATGTTCTTTCTTTTCGTTCTCCAGATACTTCTAATAGGCCATCCACCGTGGATCACCCTGTATAAGATGTTCCGTTTGTGAATCAAGATAAGTTATTACCACTTCCGGTGAAACTGAAAGTGGAAAATAAAACGTTTTCATGTCTAAACATGGAGTTCATCAAGTTGATTAATCATTCCGAATTTCAATCACTCATCTTTTAAACTAAAGGAGAAAAAGAGGCTGCACTATAATTCTGTTACACTCGGTATGATATTATCTAGGATTGAGAAAAACGCACTAATAGAAGTATCAAGCCGGAATCGGCCATTCAAGAAGTCAAGAAACTTCATTCATCGAGATTCGTCATTCGAAATGATAACATCGAGTCAATCGGAAGGCACAGAAAGCACCGAGTTTCAGAAAAGGGTTGATGTTAGCAGCAGGCTTTTCAGTCCTGTACTTGTATGACCCTCTAATAGTTTGGTACTTGTATCACCCTATATAAAATAAGATATTTATTTGTTGCTAACATTTCGATGAATTGTTGAAAACAAAGGATCAAATCAATCATCAATATCATCATACCAACAACCCCTATTGAATACAATCAATTTTCTATCTAGTATCGAACATATTTTTTTGTGAGGGTAATGAGAGGATCTGTGTTCAAGGGGCCCTTACTTCGGCGTTTTTCGGACAGATACTACTGGTACCTACTTATTTGGATATCTCGGGCGCCAGATTTTTGATAATGATGATTTACTTCACCTACTCCTACGAACTGAATTCGTTAGGAGGCCTGGGTAGCGACAGTGAAGAAAGGCGCAGGTGGTGCCTTCAGCACATAATACCATACGGAACTCTGTGCCTACAGTGAATCAGGTGTTAATGTTATTGATCAGACCTGGATCAGAAGCCAAAAGGATATACGCTCTGATTACAAACCCTGGGTTCATCTTGGAAAACTGGTTGATATACTTACTGCAGGATAATTTGCAGGAACCAAAATAAATCGATGGCACTGAATGAATTTGGCTAAAAAATATTCAATAACAAACAAGTTATGATCAAGTAAAAAACCAAAATTTCAACAGATAAGTAATTCATCTGAATTTCAAATCATGAGCAATAGGGTTGGAAAATATTCAAGTTTATAGGGTTGTAATGATGTCTAACGTAGTTTACTATCAGGAGAAAGTTTTGCAAGTCAAAAATTAATGAATTACTAAGCAATTTCAGGTTTTTGGGTTCCGAGCTTGCGAACCAGATATTCAACTAAGAATCAGTCTCAGGTACTCATAAATTTTCTAAATACTGTCTAGCAATGAAGTCCACAAAACTACTTCATCTTAGTATCTCCATTTGTTGTTCCTAGTTAAAAGTTTATAACGTACTCGCAGTTTCGTATATTGAATTCCTTGGTTGTGATGATATCGTCGATCATGATGGTCATGAATCTCAGTTTATCTGAGAATCCAATAGCAGCGTACAGTCCTGTGGGGTGCAAGGCGACAGAGTAGATGTCATCTTCGAAATTTTGTACCAATTCCACCTCATCCGTCTCATAATTCCATATTTTGATGGATCGATCACGTAGGCCTGAAAATATTGTGATATGGTGAGTTCTCTACTTCAAATAAAATTCAAATATGAACTCAACAAACTTATCATTTCTGAACGAAATAGATATTGTTTTTATTTTTTCTACTCAAATGGATTTTTGATCACCAATATGAAATGATTAGTAGAAATTTTGATATTTTCTGTACTCACCTGACTGGTAGTTACTTTTTCAACAAATAAATGAATGAATAAATAAATTAATTGATAAATGGCAAGGGTGGATCGTGAATATTGTTGATTATTTTTAAAATATCGATTTGCTAAAAGGCATTGGGAGGAAATACTTACCGGAAGAAACTACAATGGGTTTCCAACGACATATTGCCAAACTGCCAATGGAACCTAAATGCATGGGGTATCCAAAGTCCCTCAAGACTATTTCGATGCCAGTGCTCGCGTCATGTGACCAGAGTCTTTCCGACCATATTTGCATCTCTGAACAGGTCGCCAATATTCTGAAAATGATGGAAGATTCCGTAAGATAGCGATTATGTCATGTTGCGCCTTATATGAATGGCCTACTATTCGGAGGTTAAAACGAGCGGGATTTGACAAAGAAGAGCGAGACAGTGAACAAGCAACAAAAAGAGTGAGATCTTGTTCAATCGAGCGAGCTGTGGCAACGCTGCTATTCACCTGTCTTGCGACGGACTTCGGACTCTCTTTCGTACTCCCGGCGTATCGTCTGGTCCGGGATAGTGAATATCCCCCTCTTCTTGAAGCGGTGGGGATTGGGTCTTCCATTGAAACGCATATAATGAACGATACTGGCAGATCTGAGCATTCCGATGTGAATACCGAATGTGAGACTAGATAAAAATTACTGAATTCCAGAAGATTGCTTACTTACTGAGATCCGTTTATCGCTATAGCCCAACATTATAGGTTTGTGCTCTCCCCTGAATAATTGCTATCGAACGGATGCTGTCGATTCAGAGGTAAGGTAATACGAAAGTGATTTCAATCCAACAGGAAACGAGATTTCTCAGATATAGGTAAATGAACGAGTTACTCGTCCCATAGAATACTTCTGTAGTCTTTGACTATACTTTACATCAGTGTCTACGTTTATTCATCGATTGATACTTCTACAATATTTTGAGGAAAACTTCTATTTCCCTCGAACTCTTCGCGGCTATGCTTGGTGTTCGACTTCTGATGTTTCTTAAGAAACATTCCGAAAACAAAAACTCAGGACCGATTCTACCACATTTCTGACATAGACCAAAGAAACAGGGGTATGGAAATCATTTGTTTGTGTGATATATGTAGATATTCGAATCTGCCGCGATCACCACTACCATATCCACAAGGAAATAATTATGGAAGAAATGTGCTCAGCAACGTGTTTATTCAATTCATCTCACGAGATTAAGATACAGATGTATATCATGTAACTGTAAACTTCCACTAGATCAAATCAAAAGTAATGTATAGTATTCGAATGATACGGAATAAAAGTAGAGATATTCAAACAGTGTTTTAATCATATTCTGAATATCATTGGACAGTACAGAACATAACAGTTTGGAACCGTGTACAGGAAATGAAAACAGCCTTGTAGAGTCTATCGATTTGTATCTAAATAAACAGTTACAAGTATCTGAATAGACAATTTCAAGTGTCGAAATAGACCATCCAAATACGCATCAAATATTCAAATTTATTGTTCAAAGAATCTGAAATGCTCGATCTGAGAAAATTATTTTTCAATGAGATTGTGAACGAACACTTGAAAATCGGAAGTTCTTGAATTATACAGGGTGTCCGCTAGAAGGAGGTCAATCCATTAACCACATATTCCTTGAATAAAAACAATATGAGTTTCTAAATACCATTTTTCATTTTAGCCCTTCATATTCGATATACAGGGTGTCAAAGTTGGAAATTAAAAACTGTTTTTTTCTAATTACTCGCGTATTTGATAAGATATCAATCTCAAAATTGGTACATTACTTCAGCACAAAGAGTTACATCGTGTGAGGAAAACATAACAGAAAATAACTGTCAAATATTCAAAATACTGGGGGTCAAGTACACACTTACTCCCATATTTTTTTTTTGTACGTGCGCTAATGACTTCCTATCTATTTTCCTTCAAGTGTTCAATCATTTTCGAGTAATTTGTGTTTCTTGTGAAATTTCGATTAAATCATTTGTTTTTAAGATAATTCGAAAAGTACTGGTTATTGTTTGATGCCTATGCGGCTTACGGTAATCTCATAATGTTCACATACTCCTATTTATTTCGTCGAAATTGGAAGAGGGCGTATCTTTTTACGTACGAAAAGGTAAATATGGAAATACCGCGTGCTCAGAGCGAATGTATTAAAATAATTTTCACAATTTTTCAATTTTTTTTGCTGTAAAAATTATTTTAGTACATTTGCTCTGAGCACCCGGTATTTCCATATTTACCTTTTCGTACGTAAAAAGATACGCCCTCTTCCAATTTCGACGAAATAAATAGGAGTATGTGAACATTATGAGATTACCGTAAGCCGCGAGGCATGAAACAATAACCAGTACTTTTCGAATTATCTTAAAAACAAATAATTTTATCGAAATTTTACAAAAATCTAAAAATACTCAAAAATGATTGTACACTTGAAGAAAAATAGATAAGAAGTCATTAGCGCACGAACAAGAAAAATATGGGGGTAAGTGTGTACTTGACCCCCAGTATTTTGAATATTTGACAGTTATTTTCTGTTTTGTCTTCCTCACACGATGTAACTCTTTGTGCTGAAGTAATGTACCAATTTCGAGATTGATATCTTATCAAATACGCGAGTAATTAGAAAAAAACAGTTTTTAATTTCCAACTTTGACACCCTGTATATCGAATATGAAGGGCTAAAATGAAAAATGGTATTTAGAAACTCATATTATTTTTGTTCAAGGAATATATGGTTAATGGATTGACCTCCTTTTAGCGGACACCCTGTATAGATCACACCCATAATACAAGATCGAAAGTAAACGAAACTCTCACCACAAGATATTCTTCAAAGACACAAATCCAACGTACATACGTCTACCTAGCAAATAGACCTTATGATTACTTGCCATTGGATGACTACTTTTTTCCCATGTATAATGAACGACTATTGCTTGTAGCCCAATTGACTGAACTCCCCGATATTTCCTATGATATCATAATTTATAATACAGTTGATTAACTATTCAATGTATTATTATTATTATAAAAACAGAAACGCAATGAGAACCTTCAGCAATATTTACCTGTCTTGCGACGGATTGATGGCGATAGTATTGACGGTCGTCACCACTTCAGGTTCCTCTTCGTACTCTCTCCGGATCGTCCGGTCGGGAATAGTGAAGATCCCCCTCTTCTTGAAGCGGTGGGGAGTTTCTCGCTCGTACAGATGAACTTTGCCGTTGAGGTAGCCGAAGGCGAAGCCGCGGGAGAAATTGACGATCGACCGGATCTCGAAGTTCTCCTCCGAGTCGGAGACGGCCATGCCGAAGGTGTCGTACATCGAGGGGTCCACGTTGATCTCCGAGGAGTCTTCCAGTCTGCCGAGGAGGAGAAGACTTTATCGGTGTGTCGATATCAAGATATACACAGGAAATTGTTTATCTATACTAATATTGATGGTTGATCTCCGAGGAGTCTTCAAGTCTGTCGAGGAGAAGAAGAGTTTGTTGGTGTGTCGATATCGAAATATACAGACAGACTTGTTTATCTATACTATGATTGATCGTTGATCTCCGAGGAGTGTTCCAGTCTGTCGAGGAACAGAGGACTTTGTTGGTGTGTCGATATCGAAATATACAGGGTGGCCAACTAAGAATTCAGAGTTCGATACCTCTGTTGTCTTGAGAGATACAAAAAAAAGTTCCGCATTCAAATTAAAGTGATAACCGAGCTTCACATTTCGAAATTTCTTTGAAATACACAGGGTGTTCCGTAAGGTCACAGCACATCAAAGCTATGTTTTTTTCATTGGAACACCCTATATTTTATTTCATTTTTGAATTCTTCCTGAAGATCTGATTTCAACGACGTATCATACTTAGGGTCTAGCAGTGAAAGTTACTGACATATAGGGTGTGCAAAATCGAGATTTTTCAAGTTCAGGATTTTTTTCTGTCGAAACTGTTCATTATTCGTCAAAACGGTTTACATGTCCCTATCTCAACTTTTCACTCACTATCAATTGGTGTTCAATTGACATTTAATTGAAACAAATCATAAATTTAGATTTTTTGACCACCTTGTATCAATATCAATTGAACACCAATTGATAGTGAGTGAAAAGTTGAGATAGGGACATGTAAACCGTTTTGACGAATAATGAACAGTTTCGACAGAAAAAAATCCTGAACTTTGAAAATCTCGATTTTGCACACCCTATATGTCAGTAACTTTCACTGCTAGACCCTAAGTATGATGGGTCGTTGAAATCAGATCTTCAGGGAGAATTCAAAAATGACCTAAAATATAGGGTGTTCCTATAAAAAAAACATTGCTTTGATGTGCTGTGACCTTACGGAACACCCTGTGTATTTCAAAAAAATTTTGAAATGTGAAGCTCGGTTATTACTTCAATTTTGATTCATGAATTTTTTTTGTATCTCTCAAGACAACAGAGAAATCGAACTCTGGAGTCTTAGTTGGCCACCCTGTACACAGGGACTTGTTTATCTATACTATTATTAATCGTTAATCTCCGAGGAGTCTTTCAGTCTGTCAAGGAAAAGAGGACTTTGTTGGTGTGTCGATATCAAAATATGCACAGGGCATTGTTCATCTATACTATTATTGATAGTTGATCTCCGAGGAGTCCTCCAGTCAGTCGAGGGAAAGAGAACTTTGTTGGTGTGTCGATATTGTTTATCTACACTAATATTGATCGTTGATCTCCGAGGAGTCTTCCAGTCTGTCGAGGAGAAGAAGAGTTTGTTGGTGTGTCGATATCGAAATATACAGACGGACTTGTTTATCTATACTATGATTGATCGTTGATCTCCGAGGAGTGTTCCAGTCTGTCGAGGAACAGAGGACTTTGTTGGTGGTACTATTATTGATCGTTGATCTCCGAGAAGTCTTTCAGTCTGTCAAGAAGAAGTGGACTTTGTTGGTGTGTCGATATCGAAATATACACAGGGAATTGTTTATCTATACTATCATTGATCGTTGATCTCCGAGGAGTCTTTCAGTCTGTCAAGGAAAAGAAGACTTTGTTGGTGTGTCGATATCAAAATATGCACAGGGCATTGTTTATCTATACCATAGATTAATTTTTAATCTATGTCTATACTATTATTGATAGTTGATCTCCGAGGAGTCTTCCAGTCAGTCGAGGGAAAGAGAACTTTGTTGGTGTGTCGATATTGTTTATCTACACTAATATTGATCGTTGATCTCCGAGGAGTCTTCCAGTCTGTCGAGGAGAAGAAGAGTTTGTTGGTGTGTCGATATCGAAATATACACAGGGACTTGTTTATCTATACTATGATTGATCGTTGATCTCCGAGGAGTCTTCCAGTCTGTCGAGGAGAAGAGGACTTTGTTGGTGTGTCGATATCGGAATATACACAGCTAATTGTTTATCTATACTATTATTGATCGTTGATCTCCGAGGAGTCTTTCAGTCTGTCAAGGAAAAGAGGACTTTGTTGGTGTGTCGATATCGATATATACACAGAGACTTGTTTATCTATACTATTATTGATCGTTGATCTCCGAGGAGTTTTCCAGTCTGTCGAGGAGAAGAGGACTTTGTTGGTGTATCGATATCAAAATATACACAGGGAATTGTTTATCTATTCTTATATTGATCGTTGATCTCCGAGGAGTCTTTCAGTCTGTCGAGGAGAAGAGGACATTGAATCTTTCATGAAAGAAAGTTTCCCACACGAATTAAAACATGCATCAGTAAGAGCTATTTACAAAAATGGAAATGCTCAGGATCCAACTAACTATAGACCAATAGCTTTAATGAGCATATTTTCTAAAATTTTTGAAAAAAATCTCAAGAAACGAATTGTAGAATTCATCAACAAAAAATATAGCTTTGATTCTAATCAATTTGGTTTTCAAGAAAACAGTGGAACACAAGCAGCAGTACTACAGTGATAGATTCAATCCAGAGAGGACTTGATTCAGGAAATTATGTGGTAGCTGTTTTCATTGATCTCAAAAAGGCTTTTGACACAGTTGATCATAAAACACTTTTAGAAAACTTAGAAACAATGGGACTCAGAGGCACTGTGAGAAATATTTTGAATTCATATCTTGAAAATAGGACAATCAATACAAAATCAAACAACTCTGTGTCAAATAAACTATTAATCAATAAGGGTGTCCCACAAGGCTCTGTTTTAGGACCTATACTATATTTACTTTATGTTCAAAATATCAGTGAAATTGGTCTAGCGTGTGAATATACCATGTATGCAGATGATACAGTACTTTTATATGAAGGCAAGAATCCTTCAGATTTAGAAAATATGATAAATGAAGACTTGAAAATATTTGAAAAATGGCTCCAATCTAACTTTTTATCGATAAATACTAACAAAACAGAATATATGATTTTTCACCAAAAAAATAAACAAAAAATGCACGTCAACCTTAAAATAAAAAATGAACTCTTGAAACAAACTGACCAGATAAAATATCTTGGTATTTGGTTTGATGACAGGTTGAAGTGGGACAAACATATTGATGTTCTGACAAAAAAAATATCTCCAATTATTGGTGCATCGAGAAGATGTCCCAAACTTGATATTAAAATTGCAAACATGATTCTCTACTCTCATATACTGAGTCGTATCAACTATTCAATAAATGTTTGGGGATCTTGTTCAAAAAATAATTTCAATAAAATATCAACATTATATAGAAAATCGTTGAAAGTATTGTATCGTCTCCCATTTGATACACCAACCAATCAATTGTATGAAATAACAAATACGTATTCTTTAGATGAAATATATAGAATTGAAACTCTCAAAATATCATATAATATCATAAATAAAAAATTGAAGTCGAATATTATTTTGATACGGAATTCCGAAATTCATAATCATGAAACTAGACAATATAACTTGTTCCATCTTGACGCCGCTAGCTCCCTAATCGGACAAAAAAGATTCACTCATTCAGCCTTAACTGAATTCAATAAACTACCTGATAATATAAAAAATTGCAGAAATATAGGTATATTCAAAAATGAAGTAAAAAAACTGATTATTTCTCAGCGGACTGGATAAAATTAATCATGCCATTTTTTATTTTTTTTTATTTTTTTTATTTACAAATATTATTCTTTGTTTGCCAATTTACAGTTGTTGATATATTTTGAATGATGCTATGTTTACCTATAGGTATATAATTATGTACTTCCTTATACCAGAGCCTATTCTGTCTGGAAGTTATTTGTTCAATAAATAAATAAATAAAAAAAAAATGTTGGTGTGTCGATATCGAAATTTACACAGGGAATTGTTTATCTATACAATTATGGATCGTTGATCTCCGAGGAGTCTTCCAGTCTGTCGAGGAGAAGAGGACTCTGTTGGTGTGTCGGTATCGAAATATACACAGGGAATTGTTCATCTACACTGATATTGATCGTTGATCTCCGAGGGGTCTTTCAGTCCATCGAGGAGAAGTAGACTTTGTTGGTGTGTCGATATCAGAATATACACAGGGAATGGGCGTGTACACCTTGGTAGAACTTTTAACTCAAACCATGTTTATAATGATCCTTTTATACATAAATAATGATTGACGACATAATTCGATCGAAAAATTGACTGGGAATATTTTATTTTTAGGCATAAATAATAGTACCTTCTGAAAACGGACCCTCTTATGACGTAGAAACCTCATCTCGTTATAGTTAAAAGAAAATACCAAACGCCCGACAGAGACTGAGGCAACTGATATATTAATTCTTTCAACTGTGATCTCGCGCTAATTCACTCTGTCAGAAATCATGTATCATTCATCTCTGTCTGGAATAGTCTTGTTTCAGTATTAGGGTTTTGACGTCACATCATCGCCTCGTTTTCAGAGGTCAGAAAAATCGGGGATTTCAATAATTTTTTATAAAACGTAGGGAGCTCACAGCAAGAAACCGTTTGCGGTGGTGAGCTAGTTTGGGTGAGTTCAATCGAATTATGAAATAAATTTTTTTTGTGAGATAAGCCCATTGTTCATCTATACTTATATTGATCGTTGATCTACTGTATATAACTCTTTCAATAATTTTGGATAATATTGGTAATAAAGAAATGGGTCTCTAATTATTATTAATAGAATATTTTTTTCTAATTCTTGTATATTGGTAACACTTTTGCAATTTTACAGTTTTTGAGGATCGAACCAGTTTCAAATGTTTTATTTATCAACTAACTTAGAAATGGCACCAGTTCTGATTCAACTGCTTTGAATATAATGAACATTGATGCCATCATAACCTGGTGCTTTTTTATTATCCATATCATCAATAACGTTACCTCAAAAATGACGAGTGATGTCTATAAATACTAAAGCTACCCGTCGTGAGAGTTTGATAACTATTTTGATATACATACCTCTTTCCTTTTTTCCTTCTGTCAAGCGTGAAACAAAATGATATCAATCAATGATCCGATGAGGTCTCAAAAATGTTCAAATCAATATAACTCATTATGGAGAAGAAATATTAATCATTGAATCTGCTCATTTCTCAGTCATACATATACAGGGTGTTTCAGAATTTGATCTGGAAAATTTGATCAGCAATACCATTCGCAATAATACAGAAGTTGAAATAATAAGTTTCGAAGCTTTCGGCTGAACCTAATTGGAAAAAAAAGTTTTACAGGGTGTCATGGAACAGGAGAAGTAGAGCGAAAGGGGGGTCATTTCCAATTTCAATACGGTTGGTTTGATTGGAAATGGCCTCTCCTACCACATCACTCCTTCTGATCCATGTCTTATGGACACCCTGTATAGAGATTTGAGATTCCTCTCAAACAAATTGTAACTTCATCCTTTGAATGCCTTGTCCTGAAAGAGTTATAAAGATTGAGTTGGATTTTTCGGAAAAAAGTAGTTTGTTGGATCGGTATCCAGTCGGCCCTCTACCAAATCAATCAACTTCTAATTGACAATTGATGTTGAGTAACGCGTTCCTGAACCACGCGCAGCTCGGCGTTTGGGAAGGAAACTCTTGCGATTTAGTTCGTCTTCATACAAATTATTGTATAGATTTCGGGAGGATGTAATTCAATGTTCTGCGTGGCATATAGCCAGGAAAGTAGTTGTTTTCCTCTCGTTATCTACCATTTTCGTTCTTCTTATGAACTATTGTGGTAATGACTTCGAGTTTATCTCTATTTGTGAAGAATTCATCATACTCACTCGTCTCTAGCTTGCATAGAGATGATGGGCATATCGGAAGCGTGAAAGACGGCCCTCAACTCTCCAGTCTCCAGTATCATGATCTTTCCTCGGTTGCTGCCGACTATCAACCTGTCCTGAGACAGCCAGCAGCAGCTGGTGTAGACCACGGAGTCTATCTTGTTGTATCCGAACTGCCTCCATGAGAAGTCTTGGCAGCCGAGGCATCGCAGAACTGAGTCTCCGACAACGACTAGTTGGTTGGTGTCGTTAGGATTGCAGGATAGCTAAGAGAAAAAGCGTCTTTAGACAGCGAGCACATAACATACATTGGACGTCCATTTTAGGTCCATTTCAATTCCAAACGTCCACGGACATTGAATGAACATCCAATAGACGTACAAACATGGATTATCATTGGATACTTCAGATTGAATGTATAGTGGGCGTCCACTCAATGTCCAACGAAGCATGTACGTAGAATGTACATTCATTGTACTCATAAAAATGTAATGTTTCAATAATTGTGATTGTGGCATGCGCATAATTGACACGTATTGGCGCTATTGAAAGCAATTGATATTAAATTCTAAATGTTAACAGAAACAATTTCAACTTTTGCTATTCTAACTGCATGTCACATCTGTTATATTTCTTAAATATACGCCGCTACATCGAATCAGGTGCAACCAGGAAACGATCTCGAAGAAGGTGCTATTTAGGTATTTTTGTGTCGACTGAAGCACCAAGTTGTCACAAATAGAAGAAAACCAACGAGAATGTTGAACTTTTTATTTGAAAGAACTATCTCTAATGAGGTTGAATTTCAAATTATTTTTCGTCTCAGTAGAGGAGCCTTCAATCAACGTATGAATGCAATGAATCAACAGCTTCAAGCTTCAAAGTCTTCTTGGAAGACTTGTTGTGTATTTCAGGTATTTGAAAAATGAATTTATGATTCTTAAGTGTTTCTAAACGACAAAATGACAGTCGATGATGTCACTGTGACGCTGATTCCCAAATTTGCTCACGCGAGCCGTGCCAAGAGCTCGCGGAACGAACAATTCACTCCATGAATGCGTGACGTCACACCTCATACGGGCGTGAGGGTGTGCTCTGGATTAGCGTCTGCGGACAGCCGCAAGTAATAACTCCGTGGTGGGAGAACGTTATAGTGGGGAATAGATGCGACTGGCGTTATGCGGCGCCGACTGAATGACTTCTTCATACTTCGACTCGTAAGCAACTGATTGGCTCAGTGAGCAGAGCATCAGATTACCAAGGCGGCGGGCCGGGGTTCGCATCCGTGCGAGGCTCATCTTTTTTTTATTTTTTTCTTGTTCTCAAGTGATTTCTAAAAAATATTCTCTATGGGAAATAGGTTCATTTAGGGGTTTTCTATGTTTAGGCCAGAGGTGAGGTTCGGTTAGGTTAGATTAGAATAGAATAGAATATTTTATTTGGTGTTAATAAACATTAAGTTTTTTTTACACTGGTCAACGAAACAAGTACAGATATACTCATAAAATAGATAGGTTAGGTTTTCTCATTTTTTATGCAGGAACAATATTTTCCTTCCTCAAGAAAAATTCTTCTAGAATATTTTATTTGGTGTTAATAAACATCAAGTTTTACACAGGTCAACGAAACAAGTACAGAGATATACTCATAAAATAGATAGGTTAGGTTTTCTCATTATTTATGCAGAAACAATATTTTCCTTCCTCAAGAAAAATTCTCCTTCTTCAAGAAAAAAGGTTCATCTAGGTCGATTGATTGTTAAAAAAAAATTCCTTCCTTATATTAGATTCGACACAAGTTAACTAACGTTACCCTACCACGGAGTTATTACTTGCGCCTGTCCGCAGACGCTAGTGTGCTCTGGAATGAAGTCTCTGATCTTTTGTCACTGTGCTACCTGAGTATCAGTCGAGACTTTTTTAACGGCACTTCCTTACTAGCCGACAGTTCTCGCTACTCGATTCTAGATACTAGATAGAATTTCTGGTTACATTGCTCTCATAAGGATGGTTCATTTTGTTAGCGTAGTAAAATCATTAGAGCCTAGCCTAGCCACTATACGGAAAATAGTGCCACGGTGGCAAGTCAAGAGCGTATAATAGTTATTTATTATACAAGGGAAAAAAGTAGTAGATTTTAGTTCCGGGTTGTGTTGTGAGACACAAAACCGTGAGTTAAAATCTAATATTCTTCCCGTGTATAATACACTATTTTTTTCTGTGACAGAAGGAAGGACGAAACAATATTGAGAAGATATTACATCATTTTGAAATCTGAAAATTATCGACGTGAAATTTTTAAGTTTTCAACAGTGGGGACACCTGCGTTAACATTCTTTTGAAGTAATCAAATATCTGATATGTCACTTCTGTCAGTCTAATTCTGTGATTTGATTTCAGAAAATTGCGAATTCAGTGCTTGTTTAGTAATATACGTAACCGCGAAGTCGAATGGAAGATAAAAGGACTTGCAGTTCTTTCTCGGTCAAAATAAGAAGAAAAGTTCGTATAAATATATGTCCGAAAGTTATTCGTTTTTAAGATACAGAGTGTCAAAGTTGAATTTTCATTTTTGTTAATAAATTTCAAAATGATTGTGATATTCGGATGAAATTTGGTATCTAGGGGCATTTTTCAATGGCAATATCAAATTTCATGTTAGTTTGTCTCTTTCGTGAAGGTGGCACCACCTACATGTCTTTTGAGTCTTTTTAAAAGTCATAAATCTTTTGTGCGTACCTGTATCAGGTTATATAGCAGAAAAATAGATTTCTAGAACACTTTGGTGTGAAAAATATATTCCTGGTTGAGGGAGCAACTGTTTTTGAGTTATTGAAATTTGAAATAATTGATGCATTTGAATTATTTCGATGGGGCAACATTTTGTGCAATTTTTCTCGTGCTAGTCTATAGATCTTCTTCGATTGCCTGAAGAACAGTTCCTTCAATTTTTATAGAGTCCTAGTAGTCAACGGTCTGCCTATCACTGGAGCTTTTTTAAAGGATCCAGACTCCATAAGAAGTTGAAAAAGGTTTCTGAATGTCTGGTGATTCGGCAGTCAATGATTTCACGTTGATAATTTTCTGATTTTAATATAATGTAACGTCTTCTCAATATTGGTTCGTCTTTTTTCCTGTCACAGGAGTTAAAATCTAATACTTTTTTCCCTTGTATAATAAATACCTAATCATTTTGTACAACAGTCAAATAAACTCGACATTTCTGAATCTCTATATTGATGCGTAAATGTTATCTTTTTTCAAAAATAATTCACAAAATAAACATAAGATATTACTATATGATAATGTAGGATTTATTTTCGAGAGAGTCGATTTTAATTGATTATTCATCATAAAACAATTTCATTATTGGAATAATAATTGATAGTAAAGTTTGAACAATTACTTTCCGAAGATGTCCCATGTGGCTGCGGAAAAGAATCGTTATAGATATTTCTTGAAGAGTTGATTCCACAATTCTATCAGATATTTTAATTAATTTGGAAGAAGATAGACCATTCAATATTTTGTTAGAAATCTCAAAATTTTATAAATTCACATTCACAGTTGAACAAAAAATGGTTTGTATTCCGTGTATACAATTCGTGTTGGCATGGCACATTCGAGAGAATTTCTGGCCGCACTCAATACAAAAATAACTATTTTTGAATCTTCTGGGGCGCACGACAGGGATTCCCTATGATATCCATTTCATTTTTTTGAGAACGATATTTCGAATCCCATCATGAATCTACAGGGTGGACTCATCTCAAGTATAATGGTAATTATCATCAAATAAAGAATTATACCTATACCAGTTTCCAGAGGAGTGTAACATTAAAAAAAAACACCAATTCAATCTTTACACGAGAGATTAAACTGTATTCATGAAATGAATAACAAAGGAACCTGCCAAAATCGTTACATGGGTATATTTTCAATCCACACACTCTGTATCAACATTTATCAGCACTCAAGGTAAACAACTGCTTTTATCACAATATGCGTGATCAATTGCAGACCAAAGTTGGAAATTTGAATTTGTTCGATTAGCTGTGAAATCAGAAGTTAATCCGATCAAAATAAATAAAGTCACGGAAAAAATCGAATCTACAAAAACAAAAAGATATTCGTGTGAAAGTTTAAGTGTCTGTCAAAAACTTTACACAGACGTAGTTAGTGTTGTTGGTACCTATACACATCGTGCTAGAAATAAACGTAATCTGCTCTTATCTGTTGTATTTTATTTACTCTCTACGTGTATACGTTATATCCCTTCTGAATAAAAATTATCACAGATTTGTGTGTGGGATATATGATATATGCAATATTAGTGGCTGAAATAACATGGCAACAAATACAGCAATAAAAAAAAATGTGGCTTCGACAACTACAAGTAGTTCTACATTGTTGATAGGTGAGATCATTTAATCATTTCAAAATTATTTCATGACCTACGAAGTAGGACTACCCAATGATCATTGCTGTGTTTACTTAGTATTAGAACTTCTATTTTAATTTTCTACTTCTTTTTAGTTTGCGACAATCTATCCCGTTTTTTCAAAACAATTCTATAAATTTTCTTCTTCTCTTCAGTTTGGCCTCGAGTTTGGCTATCCATAGAAGCGTGTTTCATTATAGTACTTCAATCTACCATTTATTACAAAGCTCTCCCGCAATATTGAATATGCCATGTTCAATTTCCCAATTTAAAAGAATAAAATCATAATTTCCGAACCTGAAAACCCCACAGATAGAAATTTTGAATAGAATCGTATCGTATAACTTGTCTGCCCTAATCCATCTTTAATTTGCTTATTTTGATGAAAAAATCATAATCTCCGACACCAAAATCTCCCAGATATAAATTTTGAATGAAATCGGATCATATAGTTACAAAACTTGTCCGCCATATTGGATCTGTCATCTTGGATTTCCGAATTTTGATGAAAAAATCATTATCTCCGACTCCGAGAACCCCCAGATACCAATTTTTAATAGAATCTGATCATAATTAAAAAAACTAGTCTGCCATATTAGATCCGCCATTTTGAATTTCCCAATTTCGACGAAGGAATCATAATTTCCGACCTCGAAAACCCCCAGTTACTGACCATAATTACAAAAGTAGTCCGCCATATATTGGATCCGCCATGTTGAAATTCGAAATTTGGACGAAAGAATTATAATCTCCGACCCCGAAAACCCCCAGATACCAATCTTGAATAGAATCGGACCGTAATAAATAAACTCGTCCGCCATTTTGA